TTCCAACTCAGCCTCAGCCTCAGCCTCCCAAGTAGCTGGGATTACAGGTGCACACCACCATGCCTGGCTAATTTTTTGGTTTAGTAGAGGTTTCGTCATGTTTGCCAGGCTGGTGTCAAACTCCTGGCCTCAAGTGATTTGCCCACCTTGGCCTCCCAAAGTGCTAGGATTACAGGTGTGAGCCACTGCACCCAGCTAGATTTATTCTTAAGCCTTTTATAACTTTTGTTGCTATTGTAAATGGGATTTTTTTTTTTTTTTTTTTAAGATGAACTCTTGCTCTGTTGCCCAGGCTGGAGTTCAGTGGTACGATCTTGGCTCACTGCAACCTCTGCCTCCTGGGTTCAAGCGATTCTCCTGCCTCAGCCTCCTGAGCAGCTGGGATTACAGGCGCCTGCCACCATGCATGGCTAATTTTTTGTATTTTTAGTAGAGACGGGGTTTCACCGTGTTGGCCAGGCTGGTCTCGAACTCCTGACCTCATGATCCACCCGCCTTGGCCTCCCAAAGTGCTGGGATTACAGGCGTGAGCCACTGTGCCAGGCCCTCATTCTTAGCTTTTGATTTTACCTTTTCCCTGTGTAATCTCTCCAGTGCTGTTAAGAGAGGCCAAGTGACTCTATAATCTTTATAATGACCACCACTGTCACAGTGTCTAAGTGCCCAAGCCATTCCAAATGCCAGTGCCTTATCCTCTACCTACCCTTCATCCCATGCCGCTGCTGTTAATTTGAATGATTTTAATACCACTGAATGCCATTGATTACACTTGACTCATTCCATCCCTACTACATCCTTTCCAGGATTCTATTTTGAGGGGATGTCCTTCGTTCTAGTAACCCCTCCTAATCTGAGATAAATCTTACTTGATCATTTTAATTTTAACAAATTCCCTAATGAATTCACTTTAAATTTAGGATTTTAAAATGTTTGTTCTTATTTATTTATTTGAGATGGAGTTTCACTCTTGTTGCCCAGGCTGGAGTGCAGTGGTGCGATCTCGGCTTACTGCAACCTGCTCCTCCCAGGTTCAAACAATTCTCCTGCCTCAGCCTCCCAAGTAGCTGTGATTACAGGCATGTGCCACCACATTCAGCTAATTTTTGCATTTCTTGGTATAGACGGGGTTTCACCATGTTGGCCAGGCTAGTCTCGAACTCCTGACCTCAGGTGATTAGCCTGCCTTGGCCCGGGAGGGGCAGGTTGCAGTGAGCCGAGATCGCACCACTGCACTCCAGTTCGGGGAATGGGCTGACCAACTGTTCTGGTTTTCTTGGGGCCATCCTGGTTTTAAAACCCAAAGTCTCACATCTCAGGAGACCCCCTAGTCCCAGGCAAATGGGGATGGCTGGTGACTCTCCCAGGAAGAATGGTTGCTTTGCCTTCATCTCCAGCTTCTAGAAAGGAAGACGTGAGCTTGGGGCAAGGTGAAGAGAAATTGCAGGGATTGGGGGAGCGCTAGACAGCCAAAGGGTAGTGCTTCTTCCCCACCTTTCTGGCTGTAACAGAAGCGGGGCTCAGACTTGAGATGCACCAGTTTCTGCTGAATATGAGAAAGGGCTGAAGTGTGAGCTCCTGGTCACAAGAATGTTCACCACAGCCGAGAGGAAGAATGGATGCCTGACTGGGGCCCAGGGGCCTCTATCTATGGCCACGCCACTTCCAGGTTATTTCCTACAAAAGCTCTACCTCTTTCACTGAGGAAGACCCCTTAGTTTCTTAGTTTACAGAAAGCACATAGAACTGTGTAGATGTATACATACTGACATGAAAAGATGCTCATGATCAACTGCTTAAACAAACAAAAAAGCACCTTCAGAAAGTCTTGCACCATAGGAGCTCTTTTCTGTGAATTAATAAGTTAGAAGCAGCATACTGGCATGACACTTCCTGCTCTATTTAACCTCTTATCAAGGACAAGTTTAGAGATGCTTGCTTTGGCTTTTGGAGAAGAAGAAAAAAGTACCACAGATTTTATGAACATAATATTAAAGCTCATTCTAGGCTTCGAGCTGCTCCCTGCATTTCATCATAAACATAGGGCACAGAGCCTGTCTGGAGATTGCTGCAGTTACTCAGAGTGTTGGGAGAGTTTTCTAGATTTTTCTGACCTTCTGGAAACTTGCGTCGATGCCTCTGTCCATTTCCATGTTCGGCAATGCGTTTGTGGGTCTTTTCTTAAACAGCCAAGTTGCTTTTCTTCGCAAGCTTCCTGGTATGGGTTTTATGACATTACTGCCCTTTGGCCTACAAGCAGAGTCCAGATTTGAGAGCTCACCAAGGCAGAGCTCCTAGGGAGTGTCTGTAGGGACTGTTTTCCTCTCTTTGGGCTTCAAAAATGACTTATGACTGGGCCAGGCCAGGCACAGAGGCTCATGCCTGTAATCTCAACACTTTGGGAGGCTAAGGTGGACAGATGACCTGATGTCAGGAGTTTGAGACCAGCCTGACCAACATAGTGACACCCCATCTCTACTAAAAATACAAAAATTAGCCAGGTGTGGTGGCAGGAACCTGTAATCCCAGCTACTCGGAAGGCTGAGGCAGGAGAATCGCTTGAACCCGGGAGGTGAAGGGTGCCACTGCACTCCAGCCTGGGTGACACAGCAAGACTCTGTCTCAAACAAATAAAAAAGACCAGATGTGGTGGCTCACGCCTGTAATCCCAGCACTTTGGGAGGCTGAGGCAGGTGGATCACTGGAGGTCAGGAGTTTGAGACCACCCTGACCAACATGGTGAAACCCCGACTCTACTGAAAATACAAAACTTAGCCAGGCGTGGTGATGGGCACCTGTAGTCCCAGCTACTTGGGAGGCTGAGGCAGGAGAATTGCTTGAACCCAGGAGGTGGAAATTGCAGTGAGCTGAGATTGCATCGCTGCACTCCAGCTTGGGCGACAGAGTGAGACTTCAACTCAACTCAAAACAAAACAAAACAAAACAAAACAAAACATAAACAAACAAAAGCCTCTGTGGCCTTGGGGCTGGACCAGCTCAATGAAGTGGGGGGTCTCCTCTGCCAGGATGCCTGAGCTTGAGGTCCCAGGGCTCGGTCAGCCCATTCTTGCCTCTTTACCCACTACTGGGGAAAGTGCAGAAAGCGGGTTTCCTAAGAAACTCCTGGGCCATGGCCTTCTAGACTTGTCTACTTCTGACCTCAAATCAAGGAAGAGAAGATTGGTTAAAATGACTTTCTACCATGCTACTTCCTTTGTCAGTTCCTGTAGAGCCTCCAACAAGGTGTGTGGGCATCCTCTCTCCTTCAGCATCCAGTCATCCAAGCTGGGAGCCCCAGAGGAGGAAGCACCTGTTTTTGCCCTAACTTAGGGAAGGGCTTTGGATTCTCCGCCATTCAGGATGAGTCACTGTGGGACTGCAGAGAGGATTTTACTCATTGCCCAGGAATGGACCCTTGGAAGGCTCCAGAATGACTAGCCTCAAGTGTTCTGTCTCAGGCACGCGGCATTTTCCCCCACTCCACGTCTGCAGTCACTTCCTCTCTGGACACATCCTGTTTCTGGAAGCAGGCGTCATGCCACGCAGATTGCAGCCTCTGAGCAGATGGGCGGAGACATCCTTCCTCTTATTTCTAGTACCTAATCCCATCTTCCTTCCCAGTCAGAGATATCGATCAGCATCTCCGCTTTTCCCAGGTCCCTGCACGCCAGGGAGGGAGAGTGGGGAAGGAACATGTTTCTATTGGCAACTCCAACTTATTGGAGGTGCTTAGAAACCACTGCTGATTTCTCACCAGCTTCTCAAGCACAGATAATCAGGAGAAGATCTAGGGCAAGGATCCATCTATTCATTCGCTCAGTAAATATTTATTAAGTGCCTACTATGTGCCAAGCCCCATTCTGGATACTGGGCTACGGTTGTAAACAAAACATGTAAATCAATGTCCTCAAAGCAATTACGTTCTGCCGGGAGGGACAGCTGATAAACAAGATAAAAGATATAAAAATTGTAGCATCTGCGGTGGCTCACGCCTGTAATCCCAGCACTTTGGGAGGCCGAGGCGGGCGGATCACGAGGTCAGGAGATCGAGACCATCCTGTGAACACGGTGAAACCCCGTCTCTACTAAAAAATACGAAAAAAAAAATTAGCCAGGCGTGGTGGCGGGCGCCTGTAGTCCCAGCTACTCGGGAGGCTGAGGCAGGAGAATGGCGTGAGCCCGGGAGGCAGAGGTTGCAGTGAGCCGAGATCGCGCCACTGCACTCCAGCCTGGGCGACAGAGCGAGACTCCGTCTCAAAAAACAACAACAACAACAACAAAAAAAAAACAAAAACAAAAATTAGTGGGGTGTGGTGGTGCACACTTGTGGTCCCAGCTACTCCAGAGGCTGAGGTGGGAGGATCACCTGATCCAATACAGTTACAAGGTCAAACGATAAGGTACAGATTAAAAAAAATTTTATCTTTCTCCTCCTGAGATAACGAAATACAGTAGTGTATGAAAAACTTTTCATACATTACTCTCCAAGGTTTATCTTGTTAATCCTTTAAGACGTATCATCTCCCTATCCTTCGCTGCACCTGAAAAGAGCTGGAGCGGGCAGGTAACCCGATCTCCTCCACCAGGTGAGTCCCGGATGGAGGTGTCAGCTACAAGACCAGGAGCAGAGCACTCCTGGGGCTTTGCTGGAACCATCGGCGTGGGAATGTGGTCTCTTCCCTCGTCCGAAAGACGCCAAGTTCCCGACGGGCAGCAGACTCGGTTCTAATCTTCCTCGCCCCAGCCTCTCGGAGCGCCCTGCACGCAGAGGGCGTCTAATAAGTGCAGTCGGCCCTGCTTGGACGAAAGCTCTCCCTTTAGTGGACCGGACACTAAACCCCTCCAGGTGCCACAGAGTTGCTGCTCCCGCCTCCACTTTACTCCCTGCCTGCTCCCGCCCCTCGTTCCGCGTAGGAGCCTCGGCCGCAGCTCACACCCTACCTGACCGCCGGTGCCCGCCGGCCCCGCCCTCCGGCCCCGCCCCCTCCGGCCCCGCCTCCCGTCTTCTCCTCGCCCCCCGGAGCCCACAAGTGGTGGCGGCGGCGGCCCCAGGTCCGGGGGCCCTCAGACAGGAGGGCGGGTGGAGGAGGAAGCGGCCGAGTCCACAGTCCTGCTGCGGCGCCGCCGAGCACCGCCCGCCTCAGCCGACCAGCCCAGTCGGCTACTGGGCCTCGCCGAGACGAGAGGAGGGAAAGGCCGCGGCGTCCCGCTCCCTCCGCGGCTCTTGGCGACGACGCTTGGCACATCCGGGACCCTCAGGCCGTGGCGGTCGCGGCGCCCGCTGCTCCGGCCCCAACCCCGGCCGCTGTGGTGACTCCACCGCGCCTCGCGGTCGCCCCCATCCCTGTCCCGCCCGCCGCCGGAGACAGAGGAACGGGCTCGTCAAGCTGCGTCTAACAGGTGAGGGGGGCCGGGCCGGGCAGCCGCGGGGCGGGCGAGCTGGCGGGGGGTGCCTGTGGCCTTAGGAAGGGCCAGGGTCGCGATCAATGGTGAGTTGGGGGTCGGAGGAGTGGGAAGGCCTAGTTCGGGGAGAGTAATTGGAAAACCACTTGCTCCGGCTTGGACATTCTTTAAAAAGCCGAGGATGACTCGGGGCGGGGGGTGGGGGTGGTCTTTTGTGGAGGGGAGGATACACCGGTTCGCATCGCAGGCGGATTTCAGGTCGGAAAGTCTTGGTCAAGGAGCCCGACGCTGCCTCCCGGGTCTCGGGGAGCAGCCCCTGGGCTACCGCCCAGGTGGGATCGTGAAGGGGATGAAGAGCTCCCGTGGCGAGGATTATTGAATCCGGTTGCTGGCTGCGCGCAGTAAACACTCCTTAAAGATGGAGCGCTTAACGGGAGGGTGTGCGTGTGTGTTCCCGGGTTGTTACCTTGCACACCCACTTATGCCCGCATGAAAAACCTTTACTCCCCGCCGCCGGCCACCGCTGCCGGGGCCACACACCTTGAACTCAAGTCTCTCTGAGGAGAGGGACAGGTTGACTTTTCCGGTGTGTCTGTCTGATCCGACGGTTCGGGCTCATTGTACACTGTGTTTTGGGAGTGTCTGATTTGTAGGGTGGCATGTTTGGGGTTGTTCCTTGTAGGCCGCAGAACTCGTGTCTCACTTCTAACTCCCGACCTGCTTTAAAAACACACTTTTTTGGGGGGAGGGAGGGGGTACATTTCTAAGTATGTCCTCATACAAACTTTAGAGCAAACTTTCTGTTACTCTCCCCACCCTCCCCCTTCCTTTTTCTAAATGGAAAAGAATGTCCGGAGGGGTTGCCAGATAGAAGACTACACTTACAAAGTGTTTATGATTCCAGGTGCATGAAATCTTTAATATTACAGGTACGTTTTACTTACAGTGCCATTTTTGGTATTCTTACATGGACCTGCCACCCCCATTTTAGTAGAACTTGTATTTGGTTTGAAAAGGAATTGAAATCACGTCGTTATCCTACCTTCACCATTTACCTCTGTTAAATTGTCCACGTTTATATTCGGGTGAGTGGTGAGAAAGATAATTTTCCGTAGAGGATTTGTGTGTGCGTGCACGTGTACGAATAAACTGTAATTATGTTTGCCCACACTAGACTTTGAGATTTATTTGGACTAATTTTGTAGTTGAATGCCTGTGTGTCACATCTCAGTCCACTGGCTGAACTTGCTGGGTGAAAACTTGCGGTGAATTTGGTATTTGAGAATTTAGCTTGAATGTATGTTGGCTGCAATTTAAATAATATGTTACCTTAATGATTTCCCTAGGGAAAATTGCAGGGAATCATTAACTGAGTGGTTCTTAATGGAAAACCTGGATTGGGGGATACTTATATTTCCCCCCCCTCCCCCCGCCGTTCAATGTCCTTATATTGGGAGGAGTCAATGGAAACCTTTATAGGGGATCTTTGTTGCTTTAGAGTTTGTCTGTTGCTGTTGCTATCTGGAGTCAGTGATGGTGGAAAGAACATGTGATCTCAGGTATCAGAAATTGACTGTTTCCATTTACTTTCCTCTGGGCTATATAGAGAAAATGAGGAAAAAAATAGGGATTTTGATTTTTTGCAGATAAAATGAGTTGAGGTTTTTAGTATGACTCAATAGATCTTAAAGTGTTTATCTGTGGTTTCTGTACTGCCTATGATACATTATAAAAATTTATATGTAAAGTTTGTTAAGAGGAAAGATTATGCTTATATTTTAGGGCAAGAGGGAATATTGAACTACATTTATAGAGTGATTTTTGTTTCAGGTTTTTCTGAGGAATTTTAAATACCCTGTGTCCTCCTAAGAGTAAAAACAGTTTGAGGTACTCTGAGTTTCTTACAACTACTTGTCTCTGAATAGTTTTCTCTTAAAATTTGACAAATATTAAAAACATTGTCCTTCCTTCTTTGGTTGCAGTGTAGTCTTTTCTGTTTTGCCAGTAAAGTTAACATTTTTTTTTTCATTTTTGTTCATCATTTACAAATTAGATGGTACAGATTTTAGCAAATAGATCTCAAGAACTGGATCCAATTAGCAGATTTTAAGGACATAAAGATTAAAGGATTAGATGGAAAAGATTGTTTTGACTGACTGGATAAATGACAGGGCTGTGTTTGATGTGCGTCCAGGAATTGGTCTGGAGCTGGTGCCCAACTTCTCAGTCCATCTTGAGAAGCCAAATAAAATACTTAACCTAGGCCTCATTTTGGTTTTTTTTTTAAAAGTTGATCTTTGTGAAGACCTTAGAAATGTTTGCGGGGCCGGGCTGCGGTGGGCTCAGGCCTGTAATCCCGAGCACTTTGGGGAGGCGAGGGACGGGTGGATCACGGAGGTCGATGATCAAGACACCCAGGCTAACACGGTGGAACCCCTTGTCTTATTTAAGAAGATACAAAAAACTTAGGGGGCGCCGGTGGAGGTGGCGGGCCGCCTGTAGGTTCCGCAGCTGACTAGGGAGGCTGAGGCAGGGAGAATGGCGTAAACCCGGAGGCGGCAGGCTTGCCAGTGAGCTGGAATCGGCCACTGGTACTCCAGCGCTTGGGTGCAGAGCGAGACTCTGTCCTGGGGAAAAAAAAAAAAAAAAAAAAAAAAAAAGGAAATGTTTGGCATACTCATGACTAAGTTGGTTCTACAAGGTTCTTTTTTTAGAGTTCATTTGATCTGGTTCCCTAATAGAGGGAAAAAAAGTCACTAAAAAAGACAGATCCCGGGCCGGGCGCTCGTTGGCTCAATGCCTGTAATCCAGCCATGTTGGAGGCCGGGAGGGTGCGATCACGAGGTCAGGAGGATTCGAGACCATCCCTGTAACTGATGGGTGAAACCGCGTCCCTTATTAAGAATACAAAACAACTAGCGGGCGAGTCGCGGGCTGTTAGTCCCAGCTACTCGGCGAGGCTGAGGCGAAGAGATGGCGTGGTGACCGGGAGGGCGGGAGCTGTGCAGTTGAGCTGAGATGCCGGCACTGCACAGAAGTTAAGTGTCCACCTGGTGAAGAGTGAGACTCCGTCTCAAAAAAAGAAAAAAAGAAAAACAAGACAATTCCAGTAGCGAATTGGTATATTGTGGCTTTGACAATTGACATTGGCTATAAGATGTTTTAAAATTATTGTTCTTTGCTTTAATACCATATTAGTATTTTAAATTTATAGAGTACCTTTGATTTCAAGATGCTGTATAAACTTTAGTTAGTTAGTAATAACCTTGTTGTGGAATTGCCCCTTTACTGAAAAGTGTTAACATTTCTTGCATGGTGATGTGTACACACACACTCACACACTCTCTCTTTCTGAACAAGAGGAAATATTTGAACCATGAGATCTCTGCCCACAATTGATATTAGACCTTTCCACATGTTATTCTTAGAACCACAATCAGTGAACTGTTTGGTATTTGTCAACACTAACAAAGTGGGGCTAATTTAATAATTTGATCCCAAATTTTAGATTCCTCAGGCAACTGGGGGTTAGAATCCGATTTCATCCATCAAGCTACTTCTGTTCTTTATGACACATTAACATATATGATCATTAAAATGGGCTGTATGGTAACACTATCAACTTCAACTAATATTTCTATAACAAATTGATTACAAAATGTATCATTTATATATCATACTTATATAACTATTTGATACAGGTTTTTCTTACAGTCGTTTGGATAGAGAAATATTCTTTACAGTAAAAACTTCGGGATAATTTTTTAGACCATTATTGTTTCTGAAAACCAAAGGCTGGAAAAAGCAGCTTAGTGTCGTAATTTCTAATATTTTAAATTCTTAGGTATGGAGAAGTAAAATAAGATTACTCCTCCAGAACATTTATTTCAGATCTTTTTATACATTTAATGTTTTTGTATGCTGCTTCTCATGTTATTAATTTCAAAGCCCTTGGCTTTGAAATAAGGAGGTTAAACTTCTCTATAATGTAAGGAAGTTTAACTTTAAAAATTTCCCTTTAGATATGCTAGCATCTTAGTCTTGGTTCACTACATATTTTATCGATTCAAGGCTTTAAAAATTATAGCTTCATTCTGTTTCACAGGTTTTTAAGTATGCCTATGCACCATAGTGACTTTATTTTTTGAGATGGAGTTTCACTCTTGGCTGAAGTGTAATGGCTCAATCTTGGCCCACTGCAACCTCTGCCTTCCAGCTTCAAGCAATTCTCCTGCCTCAGCCTCCTGAGTAGCTGGGATTACAGGCACCCGCCACCATGCCTGGCTAATTTTTTTTTGTATTTTCAGTAGAGATGAGGTTTTGCCATGCTGACTAGGCTGGTCTCGAACTCCTGATCTCAGGTGATCTCCCTGCCTTGGCTTCCCAAAGTGATGGGATTATAGGCATGAACCACTGCACCCAGCCCATAATAACTTTTATATACTAGAGGTGTTAGTGATTTGAATGTCCCCAGTTCATTTTATTTTCTTTGTCTCTGAGGAGGAAGCCAGTGTAGCTGAGCTCCTTCTTTTTCTCTTAAATTCTGTCTTCTAGTCTAATGCCCTTCAGGCAGGCAGTAGAACATGCCAACGTCCTTGATGTAGTTTGGTATTCATGGTAAAGTCTGTGTATTTTAGTCATCACTTTTACTTTTTTCTTGTTGGTTGAGCTGTTACTGTCACAGCATACTAACATCTTATTTAGCATAATTCAGTTTTCAGGGTAAATGAAGGGTCATACTTAGGCATACAAGATTTTAATTTGAGCCTTTTTTTTTTTTTTTCTGACAGAATGTTATTCTGTTGCCCACGCTGGAGTTCATTGGTAACAGTGTGCAATGAGCCATCCCGGCTCACTGCAGCTTTGACCTCCTGGCTCAAGTGATTTTCCCACCTTGGCTTCCCAAGTAGCTGGGACTACAGGTACATGCCACCATGACTGGCTAAGTTTTTTTACTCCAGGTTGCCCAGGCTGGTCTTGAATTTCTGCACTCAAGG